GAATTTCACACTCAATTCACTTAAGAAAATACAAGAGAACGTTTCTTACCTGTAACTTTTTCCTAATAACTGTCGACTCCCACTGCTGAAGATAACCTGTCAATTTAAAATGTCTTTTTTTTTTTTTTTTTTAAAAAAAAACCCCTCCTACTCTTAAAGCACTTAATATTACCATATGTGAGGGAGGACGCAAGAAAAACTTGTCTAATCTGCGGTTACGTGCCACTTGTCTTTCCTTCCTTACAAGTTCAGGTAGACAGCTCAAAAAGCAACAGAGGAGACAGAAATCTATTTTATAACACAGAAAAAMCACGTACTTTAAAATATAAAAAGTAGCATAAGGTTCCAGAGGCATGCAAAGGACCAGGAAATATTACAATTTTCCATATATTATATAGAGATTATATTTCACATTAAGCTGATTCATATCCAAAAGTACACTGTTTGCTGCATTTTCAGTTGAACACAGCTATAAGTATGAAATAACCAACTAAATCAGAGAAAAGACAATACCTTATTGCTTTTGTAAGATACTATTACAAGAATATACAAATATTAGGCATTGTTATCATATAATATAGTTGGTAAACATTTTGGTCAGATTTGCAATATACTTGCAAGAACAGTATTGCACAATTGATTTATTTGTTACTTCTTAAAAGCCCAGGAGTAACTTTCCAACAGAATAGCAGCATTTACCTTTTGCTCTGAAACCCTTTTTTCCACGTGCCCCAGGTTATCTACAATGCTCCGTAGGACTGTGCACTCTGCACTCTTCCCGTTTTACACTTTTCCACCTCTTTAAAAAGGTATTATTTTGKAAAGACTGAAAGGAAAAGCTTCCCAGTTCCCAGCACTTTTTAGGAGCTATGAGTTATTCCTCTGACACATCTCTCAGAAACCATTGGCATAAATACATTAACAAGTTTCCATTTAAAAATGAGTAATCCCATCCTAGTAGGGTAAGAAGAAAAACTCTCCAGTGAATGACCCAACCATGTATCTTTAAACCTCCCCACCCCTTCCCTCCCAAAAATAGTGGCTTAGCAATCCCTTTGCTCAAACCCTTTGCATTTATCCTATGGCAGGATGCTGCAAGTTTAGCTGGCCATGCTCTTAGTCCACTCCTTAGCCCAGTTCTTCAGGATTTTCTGCCTCCATACAGGTCACGGTAACACAGAATGCAATTACATGAATGTACAGAATTGTAACTACATAGAATCACAGAATCCCAGAATGGTTGGGGTTGGAAGGGACCTCTAGAGCCCATCCAGTCCAACCCCCYGCTCCAGCAGGGACACCCAGAGCACGGGGCACAGGGCGGCATCCAGGTGSGTTTGGAGACCTCCAGAGAAGGAGACTCCACAGCCTCCCTGGGCAGCCTGTGCCAGGGCTCTGGCACCCTCACAGGGAAGAAGTTCCTCCTCACTGGAGATGGAACTGCCTSTGWTTGAACTTGTACCCAWTGYCCCTTGTCCTGTCACTGGCCACCACCGAGAAGAGCTTGGCCCCTTCCTCCCTMCATTCCYCCTTCATGWACTTAYACATATTGATCAGATCCCCTTTCAAACTYCTCTTCTCCAGGCTAAACAGTCCAAGCTCACTCCATCTTTCCTCATATGAGAGATGCTCCAGTCCCTTAATCATCTTTGTCGCTCTACATCTCATCTCCTGATACTGAGTAAGCAACCTCCAGGCAGAAAAAGCRGACCAAAAACCAGGATGGGATGTACTTGTGTACATCATGGCCAGCTGTTGCCTGCTAACAGTAGGAAAAAAAGTGCTTCTCCTAGAAAATAAGTGTTTGCTGGACCTGCTCTAGAGCACTTAGGGGGCACCTGTCTCAGATCCAGATGCACCAAAAAGTCAACGGGAAGGAGCCCCTGGAGCTAGTCCAGTCACCCTCAGTGTATAACCACCTTTAAACCCGAGCGTGTGGGCCGCGGCTGCCGCGCTGCGCTGCCGTTTGCGGGCAGACAAGCCAAGCCCTTCCTGCGCCCCAGGCCCGGCTGCACTAACGCTTCCCGCCGTSCTTCTCCGCCAGCCTTTCAGGCTCACGTTCAGCCCGGTGCTTCTTCCAGTTGGATGTAGCTGGCGCTCTCGGGAGCCCATGGGAGGCCTCTCCGGCGCCCCTGCCCATCCACGAGGCGCTCGCTCGAGGGCAAAAGCCTCCGCTCGCGCCCTGCGGCGCTCAGGGCCACGTTGAAGGTGTTGCCCCCATAACACCCACCCCTTCAGAAGCTGCTGACACAGACCTGCTCTGGAGATGAAGGAGCAACAGGCTGGGACTGCGGGCTAGACTGCAGACGTTTCTGAAGGAGGGCGGCCTGTACGCCTGGCACTGCCTTAGGAACGGGGCGCCCTGGAGCACCGGAGCGCTGAGGGGGAAGTTCCGGCGTGACAGGACTTGAGCAGGTTTCTGTTGTGTGTTTGTGCAGCACCTACTCAGTGCTAGAGCTACGTGGGGCTGCAGAAACAGCCAGAACAACCGGAAGGTCATCAAGGATCACCGAGCTCCTGGAATGAAAAGCAAGGATCTCAGATCCCATCTTCACGTGGACACTACGGCAACTGCCACCAATTCTGTGAGTTCCCTCCCATTCCTACATCAGTGTCGTGGCAAGGAACTTTACACAGCTCTACAGAAGTAATACTTAAAAGTAGAATTAATGTATGAATTATCTGTATGAATCAGGTGTGAGGGGGAAAGCCAACCTCAACAGCTTGAAGAAAAATYATCACTTCTACTCCATCAGAAATTTTTCTGAGCCTTTAATGAAAACTGCACTCAGGTCACCACAACTCCTCCAGTCTTAAAACACAACCACCCCCTCTCCCACACACCCCAGGCTTTGAGAAAGAAACTGCAAGCAGTTAAGAAATAAGGGGGCAGCTTCCCAGAAGACAGAAAAAATAGGCATGAAAAGGGAGAATAAAAGTACAATCTACATTATATTTCCCCTTTCTTAAGCAGTTGGTGCTAAAGATGGCTAACGCTTTGACCCAATCCAGAAAAGAGGTCAAAAAGGCAGCAAAACGTACAGAAACATATCTTAATTTGTCAAGGCGAGGAATGACTGAGGAGCTAGTGAGCAGACTGTTGAGTGGGCAGCACACTGACTGGACACGGAGAGGGCCAGCGCAAGACGGGGCTCGTTTCACCACGTCATGGGAGATGCTCGTGCACCCCGGGAGCTACCTAGCGGCTCCCAACACAGGACACCCCAGCAACTCACACCTCTGGGCACACAAGCCACCTGTAAAGCATGAGGTTTTARAAAGTATGAGTTTATAAACCTGCAAAAGTGTGAAATTTGTGGAAAAAAAMCCCAATTCTCTCGGAAGTGTATTTGATTTGGTTCCAAGTAACCGACACTGGAAAGGAGTAAGGAATGAACTAACAGCTGGTCACAAGGAGCTAGAAGAAGAGGTAACAAGGGGCATTATAAAGACTTGGAGGATAGGRAAGAGGGAGAATCTTTCAAAAACGAACAAAAGGTTAAAAAAGGGGGATGGAGGAGTGACAGTAATGTTTACTGAAAAGAAAGGGCATCCCTTTATATCATTCTTGAAAATAATGGTCAATTCATTCAAAACAGAAGATGATTCCCATAAAACATGTAAGGGCCACATTCAAGGTAAATGCTTAGATTCACCTAAATAAATAACTGGAGCTGAGATGGGATAAAATTACATGCTCTGCAGAACTCACGGAGGTGAGAAGAAGCCTCTCCCCTACCTGCCCACTTTGGGGCCCTTCAGCACATTTCAAACTTCTCATCAACTTTCTAGGGAAAACTACTGTATTCTTCACATTCTGAAATATCCCTGCATCAAAATACACCTACATCTATACCAAAGTRTAGGCAGGTGCTACAGATAACGTATAAGTATTCTGGGCTGCTCCAGATCACTGCCTGCCTTCATTTCACTGGCCCAAGCAGAAGCCTCGGTGTCCTCTGTTAATTCAGATCACAGAATSCCAGAATGGACAAGGTTGGAAGGGACCTCTAGAGMYCATCCAGTCCAACCCCCTGCTCCAGCAGGGACACCCAGAGCACGGGGCACAGGRCGGCATCCMRGCGGGTTTGGAGACCTCCAGAGAAGGAGACTCCACAGCCTCCCTGGGCAGCCTGTTGCAGCGCTAGGAAGATGCGGCACCATGAAGCACGTCTTCAAGAGCGGTGGAAAATAGCAAGCGTGTAGAATTTCAGGAATCCYTCCCGCCTCTCAGGCCCGGGACGGAGCGCACGAGCAGGGCAGAGGCGCGATGCGCCACGGGCCCGCGGGTGCCGGTGTCAGTGCCCAGAGGCAGATCCGCTCCCGGGCTGAAACGCAACACAGCCAAGGAACGCGTCTCAGCAGCCAAAGGAAAGCAGCTCCACCAGGCAGAGTCCATCGGAGCGACGGAGGGACTCGGCCCAGGAACGGCCGGGGTCTGTAGTCACCGCCTCCTGCCAAACTACGCTCCGCACCTCAACTCTTCTCCTGTTTAGACAAGGCCAACTGCAAGATGAACAAACGCATTAGCTCCTCTATTCCACTTCCCTAAAGCAAGAGCAGGGCTACCACCCAAGGATAAATCCAGTACTCCGTCATGACGTAATACCTTTTTTTATTACAATATCCAAAAAACTGAGTATGCAAGATTTTGAGATCTCAAGATCCCTTCTTCARTCGCAGGAATGTGCCATCTAAAGACTGCATATTTAAACCATGAAGGAGTTTAAATGTAAAGAAAAGAGAAAAAAAATGCATTTTCTTCATAAACATTCTGTGTGTCTCTTACTACCAATCACACCATCCTTTGTAAAACCTGAAGATTTCTCTCTGTAAAGCATATATATATATATATATATAGTGTTGGTAGCCCACCCCACCCCATCCCAAGATCAGTTTTTATTAATCTTCTGTATTAGTGTCAACAATCAGCTACAGATACATATTACTTTGAGAATTAAATACATAATTGTTTAATTCAAACAAGCAGAAGGGCAAGAGGAAAAAGCATTATGTGGATGGCACATTTGGTTGTAGATTACCAAAACATTCAGCCTTTACAATTCAATGATTCTTTCTCCAGTAATCAACTTTCAAATAAAATTTCTCTTTGTTGCAATTACAGACCAAAATACACTAGATATTTTTTTTTTACTACAATCTTACCATAGTAGTTTAAGAAGTACTATTACAAAATGCTTTAATTAGTGTACTCTTTACAAAGAGTCAAAGAGGCAATGTAATAGCAGAGTACAGTGTAAAGAGTGCTTCTAGGAACTAGGAATTTTTGTAATATACTACTTGGTAAGCAAAAGAGCTACAGAACTCACAGCCACAACTGCATGTCTACTATATCTCACTTACTTAGCTGCAGCTTCAGTGCATTCAAACCGTGCCCGATGATGTCTCTGAACGAAGAGTTCTGTCAGCGTGAGCCACTTGAACAGATTAACACTGTTTTGAATTGAAAACACCCCTCCGTTAGCTGAACTAACTATGTAAACGTACACAGAAGAGGGGAGTTTAGAACTCAGGCATGGAAGCGAGTGCTTTCAATGGCCACCTAAGTGAAGTTCTCCATCTGAGGGGAGGTGATCTGAGATTAACAGAACCGAAACACAAAGTAGGCAAACAGAAAAGGACAAGAACAACCAACAGAGCAAACGCTTTAGAAGGAGCCTGTTCGTTAAGCCTGCTTCGGACAGTTCGGATTGCTCTGCTCTAAAAAAGTGAATTTAGGACCTAAGGCTTGGAAGTTATAAGAGGCCTAGGAGACCRAGTCCATCTTCAACGTCACTGAAGTGCTTTCACAAGATATAGCTTTTCCCCGTGTTCACTGGTGAAGATGGGAGCCTTTTTGTAGTGTTCCACCAACTCATCCATAGTATTAAAGCGACGCTGCCCAATACAATAGACATTGTCCACGAGCTGCACCTTGAAATGTTTGTTCTTCCCCGATGCCTTTAGAGATACCGAGAAGTCACTGGGCTGTTGAAAAGAAGTCAGAAAGAAAAAAAAGAATTACATAAAAGTGAACAAAACGAAGACATAATTGTGTGGTTGCAGGAACAAATTGTGCAATACAGTTGATCATAATTTATGCTAGTCTCTGTTCCACAGTTCAGTGCTTTAGCTACTTAAGAAACCCAACAGTCTATTATTCAATAAATAATTGCCATCATTATTACCATGCACAGTTAAGTCAGTTAAGTGAAAGCTCCCCAGATACGCAGCCTGAAGTTGCCAATTACACRACTAAATTGCAAACAGTATCTCAGGAACTCAATCTCGAGGCAGGAGCATGTCAAGGAGAAAAAAACTTTCCTCATTTATGGCTCCTTTGATAGAGCGAGCCCCGGAGAAAGCGACTACCCTAATGATGCTTGGGTGAGATGCAGAAAATTCCCCACAACGCTTTTTTTTTTTATTATTATTACTACTATTTTTATTTTGAAGGCCCTGACCACTAGAGGGCCTTTCTTGCTTTGTGTTGCAGGAGAAAAGGCAGTCGCCTTTTATCTTCATTACCACATGTAGGAGAAATAATTTCTCTTACTGAATACATCTTTCACTTAAAAAGACAAAGCTCCAGGTAACACCACAATACAAACCTCCCCATCAAACTGTCACCCACCGAAGATAAAACTTAAGCACTACTTAAGCGATCTGAAACGGGACAATTTCGCATGAGAAACCCCTCCAAGCCCCAGCGGTCGGTGCCTTTGGAGGCCGCGTTGCTCGTGTGCTCCAGAACGGCGCGCGCTGCAGAAGGGGGAGCAGAAGGCCCTAAATTCGGGTCAGCTGCACCTCTCGGCCGAGGAGAGCCCAGCGGAACAGCGCAGAGCAGGGGGCGGCAGCAGGGCGACACTCGCAGGGACAACCCACCTATGGAGCACAGGAGCGGGAAAGCATCTTCGGCAGCACCGTGGGGGCATCACGGAGCGCGTGGGGGTCAGGCACCCGCKCCTGCCCCACGCACGGCCATGGGGGCATGGAGCCCTCGAGGCCTCTGTGGGGCTGCGGCCTCGGCATGCACCTGCCCCATTCCCGGGCACCGGCTCCATGCGGGACCCAGGAGCGCTCCAGGACAGCATTTCCCGCGTGTCCTGCCCTGTCCCCGCAGTGACTGAGGCCCAGGATGCCCTATGGCATAAGCTAGGCTGGCTTTAGCCTCATCCAGCACCCCAGTGCTGGGAGCAGCTCTTCACCCCCCGCGCTGCTTACGCCAGCTCCTACAGCCCTCCTCTTCCTCAACCCGCCGTGCTGCACACCCACAGGCCTGTTAAGAGCATAAGGGTCAGTATCCCAGTGCTCCGGCCGTGCCAGCGGGGCCGGCGGAGGCTCCGTGGGGCTGCCCATGCCCGGTGGCCAAGCGCATTGTGGCAGGCCAGGATTGGGGACAGGAGGCAGTGGGGGGAGCGCTCCCCAGGGCCGGGAGCCRGAGGCGGCCTCCCCGGAGACCCCGGCGGGGACATTCCTCCTGCCACTGCCCACGGAGGCAAGGGGGAAGGCAGGGAAAGAAGCATCTGCTGGGATATCCTCGGCGCTTGTAAGGCTCCACTCGAGAGGGGTCTCAAGCCCTGTCACCTGCCCCTGTTTGGGAGCGGCTATCTTAAGCCGGCCAGCTCGGATACTGGAGGCGCTGCCTCAGGAGCGTCAGGAACGGCCGCAAGGGGCTCGGCCGAGGCCGAGCCGTGGGCAGCACCGGCCCCGCGAGCTCAAAGCCAACCCAGCTGCACGCAGGCTGCCCTGCGATGGCTGCGACCCCAGCGCAGAGCCACCCGCGGGCGCCGCTGCCTCCCAGGGGACACCTGGAACCCCGCTCCCTGGGGAGCCAGGGACAGCCGCCCGGAGCAGCGAGCGGCCGGCGGCAGTGCCGTGGGTCTGCACCCCGAGCAGCACGCGGGGCAGTCATCCCTGGAGCAAGAACGAGGAGGTCGTCTCTGAAGCAAGATCCTCTGAAAAAGGTTTAAAATCAGCTGAAAGCTGATGCGTCAATTCAGGGGGGTTCAGTGGTTGCTAACACAGCACAGCTGCTTTCCCCATGTCAAAGTTGGGGGGTTTCGAAGCTCCCTGTATTTCCTGGGAATCACGATCTCCGCCCCGGGAGATGCCCACACAGAGGTCTTGAACAGACCTTCTGTATCTGATTCTGTGCTCGTCCGCAGGCCAGGCCCAGAGCTCGCTGAGGTGCTATCCACAGCACCCGAAATCACTTCTCCTGGCATTTTAATTACAGCTTTAAGGAATGACCGTTCTCCTGAACCGCTGACCGTTCTTCTCYGACTCGGAGCCCTTGATTAGATCCACGGATAAATGTAAGACATTATTATCGCYCATTTTCTCCAGAATATACGTTACAAAGTTTATTCTTTTGGTGATCTAATTTAGCTTGAAAAAAAAAGAAAAAAAAAAAAGAAATGGGCTGATCTAACCCTTTTGAGAGCCATCACCCGGCACAAAGAGACGGAGGAGCTTGAACAGCTGTTGCAAAAGCTCTGCAACCCTTTGCTGGCCTCCCATCAGTGAAGCCCTCAGGATGCAGGAACAAAGAGCAAAGGCAACTGGACTTGCCTGTGCTTTTTAGCAAGCGAAATGGTTAAAGCCTATTTACCATAAATCTCTAGATAAACTCCTGTTCTCCTAACTCAACATCACCATCCTGAAGTATGCCGGTTCAGTGCAGCTTGAACCGGTTCCCCGCTGTCCTCCTTGGATTTGTTCCACGTCTGTTTATTTTATTTATTTACTGCCTAAAATATTTTGTTGCAACTGCTTGCCAATTTTTCTCCCTCCTCCCTCTTAAATTAATTGCTACATTTGGATGTTTGCACACTGACTTTTCCAAGAATAGAAGCTATCATACATCCCATAAAGGTACATTAAAAGTAAACTTTAATCCCTAGAAAGCCACTCGTGATTCTGCAGAATTAAAGAGCACAGCTCCATGGCAGGGAGCCTGTGAATATTTCTGCACGGTCATAATTGGGAAAACTTAAATCTGAAGYTAATTCAATTCCTAAACCAGCGAACGGGAGATTAGCTGACACGCATTTCCAGCTCTTGAGACCAGCTGTACTGTTTCCTAAAGCCGGTTCAGATTCCTGTCCTTAACTCCTGCCTGGGACTCGGGCGGCTGGTCCTGTGTCTGTGTAGGAAACAGGAGGCCATGGAATCCTGCTCCCTGAACGCAGCTTCTTTGGCCATGAGCTTGGGATTTTCAAATACCAAATACCAAAACTATCATGAAGAGCAGGTATCAAGTAACATAATGACGAAGAAGGAAAACTGGAAAACAAGTTTCCTCTTTACAATCTTCGTTTGCGAATGAAACGAGACAATTTTTCAGTAAATGGCACTTCTGGGAAAAACAACCCTCTCKGAACAACTTTTACTGATCCAGTAACTCTGTTCTTTTCCTTTCAGCCCAGCTTCTCTTCCTGTGGGAAGAAATTCCCTCCCACCCTCATCATTCTTCAGGTTATTCCAGCTCCCTGGAGTTCAGGTCTGCTGCTACCCTGGAGCTGCCCGCTCCTTCCCGCTCTATGGACAGGCTTCCCTTTACTCCTGCTCGGSAAACAGGGATACTCAAGCTACCCAACTGAACACAGAAAAACAGAGCTCAAAAGTCTAAAGTCAGGTTGGAAAGAACCGTACAGGAAGGTTAACAATTTCTTTACTTTAATCTCATCCCTACCCCATAACTCTTTACATATATTAAAAGCTCTTCCTTCTTATGCAACATTCATCGTGTTTTAAAAACAGCTTTAGAACCATGCATCRGTTCCATGGATATTCACACACAGGTCTTAACGAACTACTGGGATATATCCTTAAGTCTGTCCTGAGAGCTCGTCCTCTCCGCACTGTGGTCAGTCGCAGCACGTCACCGAACACAAGTGCTTCCAKTTTTGAAGGGAAAACTGCTTCTGTCAGGTGCTTCTGCTTCTGTCAGATGCTCTAAAATTGCAGAAACCCTGGACACCTGACAATGTGACAGAATTTGCCCCTTAGAAGAGTTTAAGCCCCCAGACTCGGCCTTCCTGCCMTGCTGCCACACGGCTGCACAGTGCACCCGGGTGGCCTTCAAGGCCCGAGAGCATCAGTGGGATTTAGCCCTTTCCTCCTGAAGAACGACCGCTCCTACACCGCCCCTCGGCCCCAATGACAGCCCTTCTCCCTCCTGCCCCGCGAGGGAGGGAGGACAAAAATAAAAAAATAAAAATAAAAATAAAAATAAAAAATAAAAATAAAAATAAAAATAAAAATAAAAAAAAAAAACGGAGGGAGGGAGGGAGGGAGGCCGCCGCACAGCAGCAGCCCCCAAGCCCCCGTCCCACCACCCGGGACCAGGACCGTTCAACCCAGCACGGTGCGGCGGCCCAGACGCATTCACCGCGTGTTAGGGACACGGGAAACAAACACAAATCTCTAGGGAGCCGGCAGTCCAYGAAGGCCAGGAGGGAAAAGGAGGGGCAGCCGCCCCACCCAGGGACCCTCCGCCTCAGCGCCTCCGCCGCCGGTAACGGGGGCCGGGTATGCGGGGGTGGCCAAAGACGAGGAGACTTCCAGCTCCAAGGAAGTTCTCAAGTTCCTTGTTCCAAGACACACACAGTTCATCGCTGTGCATCCCCCACAGTGCGGCCCCCTAGATCTAAGGGGCACTGCGGATATTTTTGGCGGAAGGAATTCTCGTTGTGGGATGAGACTTTTAATTCACATCTCACAGAAACAGTGGAAAGCCCCACGCCCTAGTAAAGATTAAAACAAAAAAAAAAAAATAACAGACTCAAACAATGGAAAAGAGTATCACAAATCTCATGTAGCCAAGAAGAGCTTTTCATAGCTAGGAGAGACAAGCACAAAATTCAATGAAATCTAGGGAAAAGTATTTTATACAAAAGACATGCAGTAACTATGGTGATGGAGGCTAAAGAAAAACCCCAAAATAGGTCAAAAATTAGGCCGAAAATTGTCAGGACAACTCACTTTATCCATGTGAGGTCCTTCAGGAGAGGACCAACCCCTATATCCACAGTTTTAATGGATGGATTCATGCAGAAATGCAGGGGGAAGTGCTGGGACTAAACCAGAAGACCTGGAGAGCGGCCGGGGCCTCAGCCTGGGCTTCCCAACAGGCCCGTCTGGCTCCGGTGCTGCGGACACGTGTCACGGCTTCCAACCTGTGGGTCCCCATGAGAAACGGGCTGCCTGCCAACATCCYGGGAGCTAGTTCTTTACTGCATGGCAGTTCAAATAGATCTTCTGGCCATCTCTTTCTCCTGGTGCTATCTCCCGTGCCCATCAGCTTGCTGTATCCTTCCTGACACTTAAGGAAAAAAGCCACAAACCATCAGTCTCAATTATTTTTTTTTAAACAATACACATATATAAACAAATTAGGGTATAATATGATGTATAAAATGACTAAAGTGGGTAAGTTTGGAAAGTATTAAAATGTCTCTTTAAACCTAACAGAAATTAAAATACTGAGGTGATCCAAATTCTGAAGTGCAAYGAAGCAGACTATTCTGCACACATAACTAAGAAGTAATTTTCATTGCTTAAAAAAAAATAAAAAAACCAAATGCAAAATCCTCAAGGTCAGCTTGAGATTAAAGGAAAAAAATAAAGAAAAAGGAGGGACTTCCTCAGKTCAGAGGGCAGGCACCCTGGCTTTGCATCCAAAGGAAACTGCTGTAACGTGGACTTTAATGAATTTCATGAGACTCCAACAAATGCTGCACACTGCAAAGAACTTAGAAGACCCCACTGTGAAGGAACCTTCTTGTGCAGCGATTCCCGCAGCAGCAACAAAGAGGGCCAGTTTGGAGCTGCGTTTGGAAACACGTGCGTTTGGCCTCATGAGGTCACAGTGAATGAAAAGGTCGATGTGTTCCTGCCAGGAAGCGTGTGCAGCCAAGGTGCAGCCTCTCCTGGAGCAGGGCATGGAGCAGCGGCCCAGGGTCCCCACGTGGTGCAGCCGGGCCCGGCCGCGTCCGTCCGTGTTCAAAGGCCTCCATGGATTTCCACACCGCTCTTGTGGCCCTGGCCCCACAAGACAGGAGCTGCTTGGTAACTGCCCATCAGCACGACCCCAAATGCAGCATCCAGAGCTGAAAGTGAGTGTCTCTCTACTGCACAGAGCCTCTACAAGGGTACATTGTTTTCCATGGGCTTGCCAGGGCCATGGGCAGGATGGACAGCTGGACTACTGCCCAGTAATCCATGGATTACCGTCCTTAAATCCCGCGGGAGTTCCTACGTTTTGGAAGACTCCATGCCCCACTGCAATTTCTATTGATTACACAAACTTAAACCTGTCAGCCTCTCTTCATAAACCATCTTTCTAAAACTCTATTTCTCTTGTTCTCCTCAGGTTTGTCTGCATGTGTCTCCATTTTGTGGTTACAGTTAACTGAGGGCAGAAACAGGATCTCGCTGCCACACATGAGTAAAGCTCTGGAGAAACAGCAGCTTGACACGTGCCGTGTCCTCTGCAGAGAAACATCAATGGAGCAAAGATGCCTGAAATTGAATCAGACAATATTATATCCAGAAAAAAAATATTCTGAGATATTAGAACTGCATGCTATCAGTAACATTATATAGGCTGTTACAATTTTAGGAAATGGACATCAGTCTGGATTCATTCTAACTATAATAATAATAATAAATCAGCAAAGTGTATCAAAAATGCAACAGATTTCATTTGTATTTGGAAAAAAATGACACAATTACTAATATTTCCTTGACTGCAAACTCTTGTTTTGTCATCGCTAGCAACCGCTGGGCATCTCCTGGCCAAGACGCAGCAGCTCAGCCACTTCCAGCTGTCAGGATCATCACGCTGAAAGGCAAGCGCGTTCCTTCCAAAGGGAGGCTCTGCTAGGCCAGCGAGCTGCCCTGTAGAGTTTAGGAGTTACAGGGAATCACAGAATCGCTGTGGTTGGAAAGGACCTTCAAGCTCATTAAGCTCAACCGTAGCCCTTCATCACCTGCCTGCCAAACTGTGTCCCCAGGTGCCTCGTCTACACGCTTCCTGAGCACCGCCAGGGACGGTGACGCCACCGCTTCCCTGGGCAGCCTGTTCCAAGAATTCGCCGCTCTTTCCATGTAGAAATTCTTCCTAATGTCTAACCTGAACCTCTCCTGGCACAGCTGGAGGCCATTTCCTCTTGTCCCATGGGGCACTTTATATTACTGAAGATGTATTTTAAAGGAGCATGTACGTAAGGGTCCTACCAACACAGTCTGCCTCTATACTCCTTCACAGATTCTGACTTCCTTCTGAGACTTGTCTAAGCGGCAGCAGGTAGGGCTCGTGAAAGAAAATAACCAGCAAAAGAAAATATTAGATGTGTTTCTAGAAAGTATCAGGCACTAGAACGACCTTCATTTCCAGCGCTGAGCTTARGCAGCACCGTCCCCATTAACGCCAGCTGTGTGTGCCGGCGTGCAGCGCCTCCCCACGCGCTGCGGAGCGGCTAGGGGGCCCTCGGGCAGCCTCCGTGGGAACAGCTCCTGCTCGCTCAGGAGGCCATGGCAAAGACTATCCCCGTCCTAATCAGAAATAGGGGCGACCTAGGCAGCCTCTTGACAAGGAGACAGAGCCAAGAAATGTTCTCAAAAATCATCTTATGGCTCAAACTGTCTGCAGCTGACACCGCGGCGATGTTCATTTGCAAGCTGCATTGTAAAGCAGCACARCGCAGATGGACACAGCGAGGTTGATCTAAACACGGTTTTACAAAAATATAGTTTACATAAAGATGTAGCTGTAAATCTGAAATCTGTAGCACTCTCCCCTCCTCTATTAAGAGACTGAGCAGATTTAATTACTTTTTCATTTCATACGTGGAACATCAGGATACCTAGACAGGCACYAAGCAGGACATTGTCCAGATGGAATGAATGCAAAAAGCCTCATCCTAAACTAGGTATAATTCATCTTCGAATATCTTTATTTTTGATGTGTTTTAAAGACATATGAGGGAATTGGTAAAATCTGCCATCTTTTAAAAATCATACTAATAAAAAAATAGAGTGCTTTAGCCATGCACTCCCATGCYTCAGCATGCATGAAGAGCCTCTCAGTGTAATTTTAAATCTGAACTTTCAGAACTGTAGCGATCCCTCGCCAGCAGTGCTCAGATCCCTCTGACGTCACCGAGTCTCAATTGAAAAGTTATGAGCCACTGACTTGACCTTCTTTGCACTGTATCATGGTTTTAACAATTATAACGGCAATAATTTCATCTTATTGCAATCTAACCAATATAAGCAGAAACACATAAAAATAGAATTGCAATCAATAAAGAACCTGGGTGGTTATTTAGTTAAAAGAAAAAGCAAACTGACCAACACGAAGAACCCGTTTTAGCTTTAAATTCAAATAAATGACTCAATTTTCAATTCACAAGAGCTATTTTACTCTGCAGCACTCCAAACTTGAGCAGGATTGCACATGGGAGATACAGCAACCATCAAACTGAATCTTGAAATACTTAATTACTTGCCCATCGACTGATTAAGAACCCCCCGGCCAACATAGTGTGCAACTGCAAAGGTGGCTGTATTTCTGTAAAACGCTGATTTTCATATACAGAAAAGAATCAAGTTGCGACGCTGAAGCATCACCCTGTTTCTTTAAGGGTGACAGGCCCTGTATTCCGCTGCCGTAACTATCAGCCTTGCTAAATCAAAATAAATATATAMATAAACAAGAAAATACCCSCCATGAAGGATGGAAATGGAAGCAGTGCGCGTCACTTACCGAAGACTCACTGTCTCTAACAAGGAAGTCTCCTTCCACGCCCCGCTCGTTGAGGGCACATTCCGCTTGATGCCGGGTGACATTCCCGTAATACCACTCTCTTCCAGCAAAGCGTCCGGTAGAAGATGGCCCCGTGTAGCTTATCTGGGGTGGGTGGGAAGTGTTAATGGTAGGACCATCGCTTATGATTACTACATAGTTTTTAGGAACAAGACCAATTTGCCCTCTGGAATTTTTACATTTCCACCATTCGGGGTCGTTCTCCGGCTTTTCAATGACTTCCATTGTTTCCCCTTTCTCAAAATTGAGCTCTTCCTCTGTGACGGAGCTGAATGGATACAGTGTCTGAACAACGTGAAGCACTTTGGTGCCCTGGCCGTTGCTCATGGAAGCGCCTTTCCTTAGGCTTAGGAAGCTCGGGGAATCCGCAGTCGCTTCCTCGACTTCCTCCACCACATAGTTCGAGGGAAACCAGCCGATCTGGCCGTTGTAGCTGCCCCTCCACCAGCCGTCGCTGCACTTCTCCATGACGACGACGCGGGACCCTTTGACCAGGGACAGCTCATCCTCCCTCTCCGCGACGTAGGCGAACTTCACGTAGGCCGGGATGTTGAGGTCGTAAATGCGGTCGGCGCTGCTGCCGTTGGAGGGGTACTCGGCGTCCGTGCTCGGCGTCGGAGAGGCGTCGCGCGCGCTCGTCTTTCTCTTTGTTTTGCCCAAACCTGGTAAACACACAAACGGGAAGAGGTCACTTGGTGGCCTTCTCTCTCCTCTCCGTGCTGCCAGTGCTGAATTTGTGACGGGCTCTCGTGCTGCTTCAACAAAAACGTTAGATGGAGATTAACATCTCCCACGGTCAGGAGGCACYAACACTGGAAGGAGATTTTTTAACAGTTAGTACAGGCACCGTTAGGTAACTTTTCATTCGCATTGTCACGCCTCTCTCGCTTCCCCAAGGTGCCAGAACTTTAACACACAGTTAAAAACAGTGGCTTCTTCAAATTAATCACTCCAGGAATTGCATAGCTGGATGTCACGCCTTTAAAAATCCTGTCAACTGATCCCCCTGTTTAACTCCAGCAACAGCTTTAACCAAACTTGAACAAAAACATAAAAACAGGAAAAAAAAATCCCAGAAAAGTCAGCACAGCGAGAAAAGTTCRGCAATTGGTCACGTTCTGCTCTCCATTTGGTATTTCAGCCTCCAGGCAGCTCTCCCTGTGTAGCAGCTCCAGCTGCTGGCCCCCCTGGAAAGCTGCTTCCCACCTGCTGCTTTGGGCACGTATGGGAAAAGAAGGAACTCCACAGTGAGGAAGGCACCTGGATGGGGTCCCCTAAAACCTGCAAGCTCGCCAGCACTGATATGGCCTCCGTTACAGCGTGAAATACAATATTGAGAAGAAATCAATGCCATTGACTGCACCATCTTTCTTTGTAGGTGTCTGTCTTACAGGGTAGCTCTAAGTATGGGAGAAAATGTACCATCGTTATGAAATATTTTGCAGAGCTCTGTAGCAAGGAGGGCTGTATGCAGAGAGAGAAAGGACGCACAGGGCAGCTCAGCCTGTCTGCCCAAATGCAGTAACAAMGTTTTGGAAGATACTAAAGAAGACGCAATCTCGGTTATCGCACAAATCATGCACCACCTCCAAACAGTGCAATTGGACAGAATACAATAAAAAAAATAGAAATCAGAGTTTTTGTACTTCAAGATGCTTGGGCYGGGAGAGAAGTTCACTCAAGGCAAAACGAGTAAATATCGAGAATTGCAAATTCAATTAAAAGAAGGTGGGAAAGAGAGAATATCTGTCTGAATGACGGCTCAGAGGGTTTGAGACTCAAAGCCTGCCTGGATGCCGCCCTGTGCCCYGTGCTCTGGGTGTCCCTGCTGGAGCAGGGGCTGGACTAGGGTGATCTCCAGAGGTCCCTTCCAACTTCAACTATTTCAGGATTCCACAAAGATTTTGCTTTTGTTTCTTTAAACAGCCTCATCAGCAGGATGAGACTCACACCACCTGGCCCCAAAGTTACCGCTGCCATGTGTGTAAGCTCACACAGGTGAACACGTTTACGTGATTAAGACAGACACCCCGCAAGAACATTCAGCGCAGCCCAAACCACGTGCGTGTGGCCCGGGCTCAGCTGCCCACGGCCCCCGCCGGCTCMCACCGCCGGCAGCACCACGGAGGGGAGAGAAGGACACTGACCAGCCCCAGCGCCTCCAGCCCGCAGCGGGTTCCTGGGGCCCTCCGGGGTCCCCGGCCCCGCTGGGAGCTGGGCCCTGCTCCCAGCCTGGCGCAGCGGCCGCAGCCAAGGGGGCTCCTCCGCGCCGGGTGCCCTGCGGGCAGCAGCGCTCTCGTGCTCTGAGCTCTGCCAACACTGGGTTGATTTTTTTCATCATTTTGAGTGTTTTCAAAAGACTAGAATGGATAATAGCAGAGCTGAGGAACACGAAATTAGAATAATACACACAGAAGCAATGTAAGGGTCTTTTTGTTAGAAAAGGTAGGGAGTGATCTGCTTTTGCTTCGTGCAAAAACCAAAGCAAGTCCATATCAAAGGACAGATTCATTCCACACAGAGCCCCATGCTGGCATTAAACCTTCCAAATTAAAAGCTTCAGTTCTGATGTACTTTATAAGGGAGACGTCAGCATCACTGCTTGAAATTCCAGCTCTGCAGCAGAACTGGTAAAGCCAAGGGAAGAGCAGATGCYGATGCAGTGTCTGCCCAGAAGACAAGCAGTTGAAAACCAGGGCAAGGATGACAGGGAATGGCACAAACAAACCTATCTATGGAGAAGCGTTGACAGAGCGGTTTGGAAATAAAACCTGAAAAACTCCTACAGCCCAATGAAGGCGACGAAACATCCAGCCCGAGCTTAACACAAGGGCTCTTTTCTTTCCCTGGGAGTCTAACAAGGTGCATCTTTCCCAGACGGCTCCCAACGTGGTGCGTGGCATGTCTGAAACCCCTCTCCGTCCCTGTGGATCGCAGCGGGAGCCCTAAGGAGGCTCCCGAGGGGCCGCCGCGGCTCCCGGCCCGCGCCCCGGCGCTGCGCAGGACCAGGCCTGGCCTCGGGCCCCGGGGCTGCCGGCCCCGCGAGCTCGGCCACAACCGGCCGAGTTATCAGCAGGAGACACACGGGCGGGCAGGGACAGCGGGCAGGGACAGCAGCACTGTCCAAGCCGCATTTCCGTAGGAAACRGGTCTAAAAATACCAGCTGGAGGGCGGCGGGTCAGAGCCAAGCCAGAACAAGGTGGGGACAGGTACGAACAGCGAGTGCCCCGTGCCAGCGACAGCTCCCCGGGGGCAACGGAGCACTACAGTGCACAGGGAAGCGCTGCAAGAGAAAACCCTGCAACTGCTGCCTGCTCATGAAAATGCAGGCRCATCCCTGTTGTAAAGAGTAAAAGCTGTGTAAGGATTTCCTGGAAAGCAGAGCCTTGCAGTGCTCTGGGAGCTGCACTTGGAGGAGTCAAATGCACCTGCGCTGCAGTCGTAAATTTGGCATTTTTGTTGTCCTCATTTCATTACGAGATATGTTTTTATTAAGGCCCAACTACATTTTCCWATGGCAGGCATTCCTGCTGTTACAGCTCACCTGAAGCCACGATCCTCTGCAAGGAAAATCATCCTTGCAAAGAGAAAACCAAGGCRGAGGAGTAACATTCCAGCGGAGGGGGGAAACGGTGGCAGCAGGTAAGTTATGAAGCAAAAGGAAACCTATTTTATGTTGCAGTGTAAGAAACAACATCGCTCATAAGCGACAAGTGACACACACTAAACTAGTGCCTTTCATTTCCTACAAACCAGCTGCCAAGCAATCTGAGCAGGTTTAATTTATAGCGGCATCCATTGCCAGGATCAAAAAAAAAATGTGGCCAGCATCGTTTTAGGAGAATCACGCACAGAGCAGACCTTTCTTTGCAGAACTTTCTTTTCTCTGGAGCCAAACGAACGTGTGGCCCTGAGTTTATTTCTGGGGAGACTCCGAAATGCGCTTCCCACACTACCAAGCAACCTCCTCCTCTCCGCTCAGCAGCTGCCATGAGGAATAGGTCGCTGTTTCGTCCAGGCCAGCCAAGGAAACCCTGTTCCCTGGAAAGGGCTTCKGCTGCCCATGGAGCCTCCGCAGCCTCCCTGTCCAGCTGGTGCTGCTCCGCCAGGACGGGGGCACCCGCAGCTCCCCGCGCTCCGCTTCCCGCCGGCCCTCGGGCCCCTCAAGCCTCTCCGGGCATCTCCCCTGCTCCCTGCCCTGGAACGCTGCAGATGCACTCAGGGAGGCCCCCGAAATGCCGCTTCCGGGAAAGTTCGTGGCCAGGGCACAGAAAAGTTAGTTTCTGCTAAAACTCTCTCCTCCTGTGACACATTTGTTAGAAATGAGCCAACTAATTTAAAAGCTAGTGAAGGGAAGAAAAAAGAAGAGYCTGAGAAGACTCAGCAGGCTTTGGTACTAAAATATATTGCGCTCTGGGTCAGAAAAATCTTTCAAAAACATACGTCACTCTTAATAGAAGTCTTTAATGCAGCACCCTTAAAAYACCTCATAAAAGAAGAACGGTTATTTTGTTTTCTTCTCTTTCTTCCTTGCCCATCTTTTAGCCCGGACGCACATGAAAGGCCCGTTTATGGGATCACATTCTGTGTTCAAGCTTTTTGCTACGCACTTCTCCTTTCGCACGCCAGGCTTTCTGAGCCTCTTGACCAGCTCTGCACGAGCCCTTTCAAACCCAGACAAGGGCAGCGGCCGTTCACGTCACAGCAGCCACACAGGCCCCTTGGAAACGTTTCCGTGCTGGAGCTGAAGCTTTTCCTAAGCACCGAGACAGGAATCACCCGCTGGACGCAGAGCCACGAGCCGCCTCGCTCCTGCATTCCTGGGGCATTCGCGGACGYGGTGGTTGTTTCCAAAAGCACCTGCAGAAAATAACCTTTCTAAAACCAATATCTTTTACTTGGCTATGTGATATAAGCATTTAAAGAGAGCCCACACTCGTCTTAAAGCCTGGTTTTATTTTGCATTGGATTGTGTTACCCACTAGATTCAGACCAACTCCTTCAGCCAGGAAGAACAAAACCCAAAATAAAAATCCCTCACTGTAACTTATACTTGAGGTCAACTTAAACTGCTCCCAAATTCATGTACATTTACACGAATGACGCCCCTAACCGCTGCGCTTCCTGGCAGGAGAGCTGGAGGCTGCTGCAGCTCTCGAGGGGAAGATGTTGGCGGGCACGGCCCGAAGCCTCCGAGCGTGCAGGAGGCGGCACCGCGCGCATTGCGGAGCGCGGACAGGCCACAGGTCCCCGTGTCCCTGGAGCAGCGCTCGGAGAGCACAGGGACGAGAGGGGCAACGTGCAGGGGTTCGAGTCCCAGGGGTGGCCGCTGACAGGACAAGGGGCAACACAGGCAGCTCCATCTCCAGTGAGGAAGAACAACTTCCCTGTGAGGGTGCCAGAGCCCTGGCACAGGCTGCCCGRGGAGGCTGCGGAGTCTCCTTCTCTGGAGGTCTCCAAACCCGCCTGGATGCCGCCCCGTGCTCTGGGTGTCCCTGCTGGAGCAGGGGGCTGGACTAGATGATCTCCAGAGGTCCCTTCCAGCCTCAACCACTCTGTGATCCTGTGAAGTGCAGGCACAATACTCATACACCAGTAGTAAACACCCGCCTCGCTACAGATTTACAGTCCATTTTCTCATTCTGGTTTATATTTCTCGGT